ACACACACACACACACACACACACACACACACACACACACACACACACACACACACACAGAGTTGGGGGAAAAACTCTTATCCACCCAACCCCCATTTCATCACTTCAAAACTGGAATGAAGTACATATAAATGGAAATGAAAGATTCTAAGAAAGAGACTAGTTTTTAGTAAGCTCTAAAAAAAACACATTGCTGAATTTGTCATTACACTTCTCACACTCGATAATATGTTGACCCTATAAAAAGAACCTGAGTTGTATAATTAGGCCACTAAGTTTCTTTGATGTCCTAACAACGTAAGAATGTCAAGAAACAAAAAGCATGGAGAAGAGACGTATAATAAAATTTAACAGAGTTCCTACATAATTTCACCAGTACTGACACACTAACCTTTGTCATGGAAATCTTCTTGAAAAAGTGAAACAAAAAATCTGAAGACTCTACTGCTTGCAAAGAAGTGTGACCAGAGGACCAAAGTTGCATTCTCCCAGTTGAAATCTGAGTTTTATCTTCCTGTTTTGACTAGAGGTCTCTTGATGAAGGGCCTGTGGTGTTATAAATTATCCCATTACTCACTCTCCTCGGCTATCCCCGCTGGAACAGGCAGGAAGTAAATCCTGGAGTCCTGCACTTACATCCCTTAATCATCCACACGCATGACCCCCAAAGCAGTAAATCACCGGCTCTCGCTGTGTCACCATGATTCACACCTGAAACACAGCAGAGAAGACAGGTACTCAGAAACGCCATTCCCAAAGAAAGGTATCTTAATACATTAAAAATAATAATATGTAGGCAACCCAGTGTTATTCCTATTCAAATAGATATCAAACCAGCAAGTTTATCATTCTAATGAAGACTCATCAGCCACGTTAAAGGCAAATTTTACAGAGCACAGCTTTCCAAACAGAACGTTTCAGGACTCAGTACCTTTTCTAAGCTCTATTAAAACCGAACATCTATATCATGTTAACCCACTTGGGTATGACTTTAATTAGTGGAACTGGCCCTATTGTTAGGCTGACGCTCTTCTCATCAACTTGGCAGGGAACAAACATGACCAATCATATGTCTTAAGATGCTACTTAATTATATTAAAGATCTCATTTAACTTTACATATAAGTGGTTAAGAATCAGTGTACTGTTAATCCTAAAGACAACTATTTGAGGCTACCCCATTTTCAAAGATTATGTGCCCATTCAGTTCCTACATCTTGAACAAAAAGAGGAAAAGAGGTTTTTCAATAGTTCAAAAGACCTTCTTTTATTTTTATTACAAAAAGAAATGCAAATTGTTATCAGATTTATGTGAATTGTATAAATCAGGGTGGGATCTCCTACTCAATATACAGCTTCCATTTGCTTCTATTGCTTCCATTTATTTGTCTTGTCTGGGAGAGGCAGTAACAGCAGTGTGCTCAATACTTGTAAGCACATCAAAATCTCTCTAGCTGGAAAGATAAGTATCAGGCCTCCCTCTTGCCAAGCAAAAACCAACAGCCAACAGAACAAGGCCAAATGATAGAAAATGCCTCCTGCAGATTTTACTAAACTTTTGTGTTGAGTTTGCACCATTATTATCAGCTGCCCTTCACAACTGCCAGCATTTCATCAAATTTGTTATCAGCTCAATATCAGTATGATAACAGTACAATGGTTTCCCAGCTCCCAGATTTGAAATTGATGAGTAGATACTAATGAGTGCTCTGTCTGCAAGATTTGCTTTTTATATTTAACTCTCTAACCTTAATTTTATTTCATTCAAAAATGTGGAACTGAAGATCACATTGGGCAAAGAAATGCATTATGACCTCTTTCATCAAGAACCTGACCAGGCTGACAGACTGTTGTTTTAACTGCTTTTCAGCAAAATGGCCGCCTCAAAGATTAGGCTCTGAAATTACTGAGAATAGAGTTTCTTAAAACAAAATATGACATATTTTGGACAGTGGTGAATATATACAAAGGATAAGAGCATTTTGAAAACAAAAACCACTCTGGTACATTTAAAGAAGAATAATGTAATTAAAAATAGATTCTTTTTAAAAGAATGAACTCAGTGCTACCACACTTTTAAGGTTGTTTTACTTTTTATTGATTTTAAAGGGCTTTCTAATAAGATTATATGCCCAACATTGTAGGGCCAAAAGCTCTTTGACTGCATATAAATGAATTGTGGTCTGCTCAACTTTCAAAGGACTCTCTTATCCAGACTCCATTAAAATTATATTAAAACAAAAGTATCTCATTTGACTTTTTGGTTGTGCTTTGAAAAAACACAAATAACAAAATGCCTTAGCCTGAATGTATATGCATATAAAAATACACGTTCTTCAATAAGCCTATGTAAACTAATATCTGGCATTCATATTCAAGTACACAGATACAATATGTTACTAAACAAAAGTAATACATCTTGATGAACATTCCAGCACAAAACATGAGTTCCTGGTATTACACTTCAACCTTACTAGTGCTATAAATTCCTTTTTGAATGACAGGTTTTTTGTTGTTTTTTAAATCACACTTGCATTATGTTTTACCTCCAGCTTTAAAACTGTACAAATGTGGGGGGAAAATCTAGTAAACATTCCCCTATCATCAGATTTAGGAGAACGTTATTTCTAGACCTAAAGAACAATGCAATATAAACCACAGATGCTGGTGCCTGTCAGCTATGAAATGTCCAAAGATTAACTCAGAGCAAACTACCCCTGCACTGCATTCCAGGGTCACTTAAACGCTAATGCAAGGAAGATGCCTTTTGGCTAAAAATGTAGATGGCAGGCAGCTGCAAGTCTGACTTTAAAAATGATCTTTGGAAAATCACATGGGCTTATGCTGTCCTAAAATGGCAAATACTAACTTTTTTTTTTTTAATGTAATACCAGTAAACCACATTCAAGGTCAGAAAAAGTCTACTTGGCCACCTGAATAAATCTGCCATATTTGGTATCCAAAATTAAAAGGCAGAGATTTAAAAGTAGTAGTTAAATGCTAGATTTCAATATGAAAACTTAAAATTGGGGCAGGGCATAAGCCAAAATAAGGACAACTCATTTAATGGCATTTAGTCAGCTCACTTGTTAAATATACACTGATTCATACACACAGTCAAAAATAGTACTTGAGTTTACCAAAAATGGCTAATGTCATAATCAGACACATATTGAGCTATTATGTATGTTTGAAACAATCACAAAATTGTTAGGGCCTGCCTCAACCAGGCTAAGAGATAACAATATTGTTCCAATAGTAAAATATATGAATAGACACATATAGTGAGGAGTGCACTCAGCAAAACATCACTAAATTATATCCTTAAATCTGTCTTGCTTTTCAAATGCACGCCCATTGGACACATTCATCCAACACACAGAACACAACCAGAAAGGAGTTCAGAGTCTGCAACCAAAATGACAGCCCAGGAGTCTGTGGGTTTTATAAGTGGTGGTTTGAGATTTAGGTTTTGTTTCTCTATATAAATAAAATATCCATGGAAATGTTCTCCTGACACTATGGAATCAAAGAAAGGAAGATTCAGAGACCAAGTGGTTTACCAATTATTATTATTATTATTTTGGATCAAAAGTAATCAGAGCACCAGCTAGATCAGAAGTCCTTCTACCTGACACTTGATTAGCAAGATATAAAGCTGGTTTTTTCTTTAAAAAAAAAAAA